GTCAACACGGATTTTTTAAGTGACACCCCTCCTCCCCCCACTTTTTCTTTCATTTTCTTATAGTTCTTGTTGATACCTTTTCAAAATACTATAATTTTATCCATTTTAGATCAGCTGTTTAGAAGTTATTGAGTATTTTATGGTGAGATGTCAGCGACTTTAGGTGAATCAAATACAAAAACTGTTCATTTTTTCGCGCTAAAACTTATATGTTTTGTTTAGCAGGTCATAAGCTATAACATATGAGAAAACCATTTTATTTCACCGGGATCCAATTTCATATAGGATTAGTGCGGGATCCTTTATAAGTAAATGTTTAAAAATAAATTTGATACGTTTTCATAAATTTTGTAGATCAATTCCATGACTTGCAATTTTCAGGTTCACAAAATTACCATTTGATGGACGATCAATTTCAAATGTTTTATTTCGAAATGCGTTTTAGCATGATTACAATAAGATCTCTCTTCAGAGAAGATACACATAGATATCGGCGAGGCGCGTCTTTTTTGATTGACAGATGTACTATTATGCAAAAGTCATTTGACACAAAGCGTCAGATTGTGGCAATGATAAATGAGATTTCTGACACAACAATACTTTCGGCTTTGCTGAAACGTGCTACTGTCGTTTTTAGAGGGGGAAAAATAAATATGCTTATCGCGCGAATAATAATTGTGGCAAACAAAAAGTCAACGATAAATTTAATGCGACTTTTGCAGCGTTAAGATAATTCGTTACTCAGCTTCAATATAAAATTGATTTTTATTTTTATGCGCGATAAAAGTATCTGCAGTATCAGTAAATGAAAAGTCGACACCGTTTTAGTATATCAATATTCGATTCGTCGCATTCATTCACTCGGTTTTAATTGAACCCGATTCATGATAATGTCTATCTTACAATTAATAGGGCATCGAGTATGTTTGCCAGATGCTCGGATCTGGTGAATTAATGAAGTAAGCAATTCTCCAAATAAACACACACACACACACACACACACACACACACACACACACATACACACACACACACACATTCCCATAGCGACTATCCGCAACGGATGGCATTTGCAATTAGGACTACCTAATTTCGAATGTGGCGCACCACGATTAGATTGTGCGTGTTGAATCATCATATAGATTATCCCGCTGACCTGTAAGGAATTATTGTTCAAGCCACTTTGTACACGTGCTTCAATAATTTACACAATTAAATATGGATTTGAAATGTGAAGTAATATATAATTTCTACAAAAATAATTTTGAATAAATTATAGAGAGCAAATAAATTACAAACAGTTTAAAGAATTTATTAATCAACTTAAAGAATTTATTACTAGAAAATTTATTACTAGGAAATTCTGCAACGGTTTGCAGAAATCAAATTTGATTACTGAGCAAATTGGATCTCGGTTGTAAACTCAACTGCAAATTCAGTTAAACTCGTCTTTTAATACGATAAAGGAGGATTGCAATGAACATTGAGAAGTTTTGCCATGAACCATGTTGAATAAATTTTATTGACAATTCGCAATTACGCAAGCCAAAAATTGTCCGAAATTAATAATTGCATTTAGTTGCGTCAGTTCAATCATACTGAACGACTATTTTTCTTTGCTTATTCTTCCAGTGGCTATGCACGAATTTACTCGGCTGTTTATGAACCATTTAAATAATCTACACGAACGCGACCTTTTCTTTCTTTAACATTTTAAAGTTTTTATATGTACTTATATACATATATTTTTGTCTGGACAGCTCGATAATATCCTTGAGAGAAAAAGTGTTTCCAGGGACAAAAAAGGGAGGATGTCAGGGCCCACAAAAAGGCCAGAGGAGAAAGTGGGAGCGAAGAATCGTATTGGTGCAGAAGGTTGATTCGGCTTCGTCTTGAAATAGCTTTAGACCACCACAAGTCAAAAATATACCGTACGGCGTTGAGTCTAATGCTGGGCGGACGAGACGAAACGGGATGAAGAGAAAAATGCAACGCTGATGAATAATGCGTTCCGCGTTAGGAACAAATCTTGAACTCGATTTCCTATTAATTGTAAGCTAGACATGAATCGAGTCCAATTAAAACGATCAATGAATGAACAAAACGAGTTTTATATTATGCGAATATTTTTCTAAGTTATTTAGAGTAAATATATTGCTATTATCCTTTCTTCATGATATTGATTAACGATACCGTTGACAAAGAACTAGGAAGAAAGAGATTTAATGGAAATAAATTCTGAATGAACTTTATGACTCTTAAAATGTGTTCCATCAGCGAATCAAAAAATCCATCATAAACATTTTTGGATTTACGATGCATAGATTTAGCCTTAATTGAAATATGAGGGCAAATCAATAAGTACCCGTCTTTGAAGATAGGCGGTGTTGCTGATGCAAGTTGGTATTACCATCGTGTACTACCATTTTTCAAACGACCATACAAAATTTCAGAGTGATTCATGAGATAGTTTTGATTTGACATCAATTCGTATATAGTGAGCGTGTTTAGTGTTTTTCGATACAATGGAAAAAGAGCAATATCGATCCGTGATTCGCTTTTTATTTTTGGACGGAAAAATATGCGAAGAAATAAAAACTTCGTTCAAAAATACTTCATCCAACGTTCAAAAAAACTTCATCCAAAAATAAAAAGCGAATCACGGATCGATATTGCTCTTTTTCCATTGTATCGAAAAACACTAAACACGCTCACTATATACGAATTGATGTCAAATCAAAACTATCTCATGAATCACTCTGAAATTTTGTATGGTCGTTTGAAAAATGGTAGTACACGATGGTAATGCCAACTTGCATCAGTAACACCGCCTGTCTTCAAACACGGGTACTTATTGATTTGTCCTCGTATGTGTAAAAGTAATTTAATATACTGTAACAAGTAAAAATTATTGTTAAAAGTGGAAAGTATTATTATATACTTTGTTATGTAACAATAATTTCTTCAAATATTAGTAAAATAATCATATTTTACAATATAATAATTTAATAAAAAATCTATCGATTTTTAAACTATACTCTGATTATTATTTAATATTTATTACAAATCTGATAACATTTTAATACATATGTAAGAATTTACTAAATATAAAATTTTAGATGCTATGTTTTTGTAAGTATAATATTAAAATAAAATCTAGGAATTAGAAGTATAAATATTGTTAACTACACACTTTCGTTGAATTGACGAAATATATTTTCAATAGAAAATTGTATTTACCCCGAAAAACTGAAGAACAAGAACTTATCTCTCTACTGATGAAAATCCTCATTTCTTAAACTGATAATCAACGTCACAGTTTAGAATTCTATTTTCGTTTGTTGAAGCGTATATCTTCTTAGAATTTTCTTTCTGTTTGACACGTGACACATTGTGAAACTATATGAGCGATGAAACTTAAAACATGTAACTATCTTGTGTAAATTTTTTAAGAGTTATACTAGTATGTTTTGTCTCTTTGGCTACTTTATATCGGTCATTTATTATATATTAAATAATCGTAGAATTATCAATTTTCATCACATAATCAATATGATCAAACAAAAGGAACCTAAATAATAGTACATTTTCTCTCTCTTTTTCTTAAGAAAGTTGCTTCTATTTTATTAGAATACTGACTCATTTTATTGGAATAGTGACACAGTACTTTTCGTAATTAAATACGCTGACTATGTAAACTAAATCCTGAATAAGATTTAAGCAAATAATTTGTTTACTTTGTTTATATATATATATATATAAAGCAAAGTGGATAGATTTTTTCGTACAAGATACATAGTGCCAACGTGCAGGGTAATACCAGAGCGATGACTTTCCTTTGAAATGATTTAAAACTGCACTTCTCAGTAATTTTCATGAAAGCTGACATGAGCCAGCTTTCGTGGATCTCGTCATCTATCACCGGAATTTAAACAGGTTGGTGTTTAGAACGAACACGTCGTGCTACGTCATCGGATCAGTTTATAGACAGTGACATAGAAAATGTGGTGATCGTATTATATTTGCCGTCTAAAAAAATTTATTAATTTATAAATATGTAAACAAAATTATTTTACATGTGTACAAAAATATCTAGCGATTTAATTGATGTATTGAGGTAATATTAAAAGTTTCAATTTTAATAAGATAATAATTTAAAATAATACAAGATAAAATCAAATTTGATAAAAAAATAAAATGTTTTTTTCATTTATGCATGCTTTGATTACAAGTTGTAGTTAACTACTAATTGAGAACTTTATTTTATTTGTGAAAATTGCAGAATGAAGATTCATAATATAGTAAATTATTTGATTATTCGATAAACCGTACATCAATATATTAATCGAGATGTTGATAACAATTTCTTAACTTTTATTTTCTTTAGAAATTTACTCTGCACATATTATAAATTATTCAAAGTTGAAAAGAAATTTTAGTACTTTATTTTTAAATCGATAGAGCAGATATTATTCTAGACATATTTTCTAAAGCTCTAACAGCAAAGAAATTTTATGGCGAAACAGAATAATGACTTTTCTTGTGCCGAGAAATTGTAAGTCACGCAAAGTTAGTGCTGCTGATCTAATGAAGATGAAGTTTTTATTGAGTTATAGCGCATGTCATTTGTAAGGAGTTAAAGCGTGAAACTTTCTTAGACTGGCAATCAAACATTTCCGCTTTCTAAAAGCATTCATTTACTTTGGTTCATTTCTTACACACGTGATATTGCATTCGCCTCTTTTATCTGAATTTAAATAATTAACGTACAAGTGTTTTTTGGTGAATGCAGATTCCGTAGTTTCTGGTGATTCCTCAGAAAATATCTCACGCATTCGACGAATTGCTGAAAAGCCAGATAATTGGACACGCACCAACTTTACCGTCATCTCTTCGTCGTAGTCCTCTTCGTGATCTTCGTTGTGGTCGACGACGAGGGCGTACAAGAGAGCCGACGCCGACGCCTAGCGTCGGTTCTCGCCCTGGGAGCCGCCACGACGCCGGGTTGCCGTCAGTGTGCCGCGCATCGTCGGACGTGCATCGCGTCGGTCGTGTTGCGCTCGTGTGCGAGTAGTTGAGACATGTGATTCGAGTCCGTCATAATAGCGGAAAAGGATGAAGTAGAAAATGATAAGGAGATATCTCACAATCGTAGACGGCCTAAAGTGGTAAGGATCGATCGTTGCGCGCGACATATATCGATCCGAAGAGATCCCTGAATTCGGAAGAGATAAGAGTAGGCATCGGTAACGTCTTGAGACGATATCTTGAGACGGAGAGGCGTGCGAATATAATCTCTCTTTATAATTATGGTTAAAGGGCAGAGGTTACCGAGTTTATCGAAAAAGAGGGATAATTACGGACGTGGAGAGCTCTTGAAGGAGTGAGATACGGAGATGAACATATGGGGGGACAGATCGGCGGAGATGTTTATGCTTCTCCATAGAAGATTTATGCGAAACATTATCTATAATTAGTCGTCGGAAAAAATAAGTCTATCAGGAGAGCGGAGTGATTATCGCACGGAAGAAAAAATCTGATGCTCCGACTTTGAAATTCTCGAAGGGCGCCCGGTCTCTCTCTCTTTGTTTTGCCCTTAACCCTTCCGTAGTGAGTTATAACTTTTATAACACTAAATAAAGAAGTATACTGTTAGTATTTTAACGGATAAATAATTATTGTCTCATAGCTTCTGTTATAATAAGTGTTATAAAAGTGTTATATATAATATTTTAAATATTTGATACGAGAGTCATGAATTAAGATTGTATTACTATTACAGAAAAGTTAAAAATATTTCGAATATTTATTGAGAATATTGACAAACTAATTAAATCAAATTGTCGTTACGCCAATTAATGCGGTATATGAATATAAAAATATTTTATGTCATATTTAATTCGTTTAATGAAAGCAAATTTAATTTCGGATCTTATTTCAGTGAGAAAGAATATTGCTTATTTTGACATGTAAGTATATATACAGGGTGTTTGGAAAGTAATGAAAAATCTTTCGCATAGGGACAGAATGGACTAAACTGAGAAGAAAAGTCCTCTTTCATTTTATAATTTTCGCAATAGTTAATATGATATTGATTACTAAAAATTGTCCAAAATTGGTCTTCAATAATTTTTTACTTAAATACTATTAACTTTAGAAAAACTATAAAAGACAAAAATTATTAATTTTCTTTTCATAAGGTTCTGAGAATTTTTTCAGAATTTTTTAATACCGTATTTTCTCATGTTGGTAAAAATAAGAAAATGCAGTACTAAAAAGTTGATGAAAAATTCTGAAAAAATTCTTAGAGCTTTATGAGAAGAAAATAAACAATTTTTGTCTCTTTCAGTTTTTCCGTAAAGTTGATAGTATTTGGGTAAAAAAATGTTGAAGATCAATTTTCGATAATTTTTAGTAATTAATATCTTGTTAACTATTGTGAAAATTGTAAAATGATAGAGAACTTTTCTTTTTTCAGTTTAGTCCATTCTGTCCCTATGCGAAAGATTTTTCATTACTTTCCAAACATCCTGTATAATAGTTTTAAAAGTGTTATGTTTAAATGAGTGTATCATATTCTATTCAAGTTGGTGATGTTTCCAATTTTATCTTTCTGTCTCTTTAACTTTAGAATAAGACATTATTTATTTCTTAGAAAAAAAGTTTGATATTTGGGAAGGGAAATAGAGATATTTGAGCAAAAAAGAATTTTATATGCATATATATATAAATAAGTGATTTAAACTCATTACGGAAGAAATACAGAGAGAGGTCACATTCCGTATATTTTAATATTTTAATATTTTAATATTTTGAATATTATTTACATGTACGATATTTATTCTAATTCCTGTATTTAGATTAAATTTGAATATTCAATAATTGAAAAACTTGTAGAGTTGAATAGAGATTGTTAAAAATTCCAACAGATTCAATTAATACCTCATGTTGGGTATAAGGGAAATATGATTAGATAATGTAAAAGTGATTACGTAGTTGCACGTGTAGAAAACAGAAAAGCCTCGATTATTTAAATTATTTATACATTTATATATAATAGACAAACTAGTATAACGAAAATGACTTATTATCTTTTTAATATATCTATGTCATAAACTTTAAAACTTTTTTCATTATAACAATAATACAGCAGTATAAAAATAATAAGACATGAAGAAAGAGTATCAAAGATTTTATAAAAGTAGCATATAACTCTTACGCGTGATAACTCGCAATTTCGATATCATAATGTATGAAGTTATGTTGCGTGAACACATAAAGCACTTATGCAGACTATCGATTTTAACGCATAATGTCGATGAGGAGCTCGTAAGACCTTTTCTCACTCCTGTCAGAGGAAAGCTTCAGTTTCTCTACTTAATCCTGTAGTCTATGGTAAACGCGTCCTCGCGTGATGTATTATTTCACAAAGGAAACACCTTACGACAGAAGTGCTTTAAATAAAATCCGTTGCAACATCGCATTCGTTGAAGATATTTCCTTGTCATTGTTATTTTATGCCCCTTTTATAAACGGGAACTCGCGATACTTGTATTGTGATAATAGCAGATGTAAAATAATCCTTTATGTGGACTCGTTTTTCTTTATATAATGTGCAAAAAAGGGTAGTTTGACAAATTAGAACAAAATAATAATAATAATATCATCTCGATAATATATATTAACTTGTTTTTGTATCTGTTATTTGTTTTATAAAAAATAATTACTTATTTAAATATTAAGGATATTAAAAGACATTTTATGTTACATTGATTAGTAAAAAATCAGATAAGAAGTGAAAAAAATACATATTTAAATAATTAATAAAACAAAATTGAAATAATATGTATTACTAAAATTATGTATGGATATGAAAAAAATGATTATCTTCAAATTACTTAGTTTCCTCATCATTTTCCTGTAGTCTTAAGTAAAATATATCTTAAAGTACACGACAGGCATAAACTTGATCAAAGTGAGTATATTGATAAGGTGACGCAAAGTTGTACTGAGTTGGACTGAGCTTACCTTTGTCGATACTCGATTATAGTTGCCAGAACGTCTTCACGCATCGATATCTTCCCGATATATCGCTGTTCACTCTTCACTAACTTCGACAGCTTCGACAGTTAACAGAATTGTCTTTCAACGCCGAGTCTGAAACTTCGGATGCTGCCAACTATACGTTCTTGATATCGATCTTTATCCTATTTAATTAGAAATATGCAAGACACGTTTTTGATTGTTTAAACTTCGTAATTAGATTTGTTTAAATTATATATCGCTCTCAAGTTAGCTTTAAAACGTGAATTTATATTAAGAAGGAAATATTAAATACAATATCCTAATATTTAGCATTGTTAATTTTTCGTTTTTCTTAAATTTTTTTTTGAGGTTTTTTTAGCACCTAGATTTTTATTCTTCTTTACATTCGTTGTCTTTGATCTCCACTTTTTTTCAATTTTTCTCACTGTATTTACACATAAATATGCGTATGTGTAGTATGTAGACGTAAGTATCCATAGTGTGTTGAGCTTGGATGGGTTTACTGATTGTAAGCCAAATGATTGTATGGCTCAGTCATTTTGGCGGAATATAATTTTTAATAAAACCTATTTAATTAATATAAATTCTTTTTTTTTTTAAATTACAATCTATATTTATGGAAAAAATAAAATTTTAATTATTTGAATTTCAGACATACGTAATTTCTGAATTACTAAAAATGAATTTTTTATAAACTAACTTTGATTAATTGATTTGCTGCAAGATAACGATATTTTTAAAAACACATTTTTATTTATAATTAAAAATTATAATTTAAAAAAATAATTATTTAGGATATTTTATGTCTGTCCTCTATTTTAAAAAATAAATATCCACAATTTAGAACATTGTATAATTTGTTTGTATTTATAAAGCTTTCAAAGCTTTCGCGATCGTGTATGGAATAATTGAGGCAATAATCGACGAGGTGGATCTAATTAGCTTGCGAGTTCACGGTAGAATAACGACGGGGGAAATACGGCACAAAAAAGAAAACTGACATAGATGTCAGTTATTTTACCGAGAGTTTAGGAGAGGCGCAATTTGCCACGACCGTAATTACTCTGATCATATTATTCGCGTGCCGAAAGAAAATCTCATATTTTATTTGTAGAGTCAAAAAGAACGTGAAGGCTCTCTTCGGAGCGAGACAAGATCGGTCGTTATAACATTGGATCCATGCAACATCCCTACTTGGATATCCTGTAGAAATTTTTCCAAATTGATATCTTTTCCGGTAATCGAATTTCACGAATGGAAGGTTCGCGGCATTCGAAGAGACATTCCGAAAATCAAACACGGCCAAACATTTCCTGCGAAGAAGTTCAAGCCGGAAAGGAATTGTGCAAAAACTTTTACGAACGTTCGTGTTTAAGTGTGGAAAACTTACGGTAAAAAAAGTGCCTGACAGAATCAAGTAATACGAATCAACATAATTTGTGCTTGATTATAAGTGAAATATAAAAACTTTACAAAGTCACAGCAAGATTCGATATTAATCCATGAAGAAGGATGCAATTACCGAGAAAATTGTAAAAGATAATTAATATAAGACGAAAGATCCGAGTGGTGATCAGGCTTAAGGAAGGGAGGGGTAGTAGTGGCTGTGGTAACTTGAAAGAATGGCGGAAGACTCTTTTCGCCGGAAAACCAGATCGGCTTCGATTTGTGCCCCAGGATTTTCCAGCATGGAAC